GGAAGAAGTGGCCCAGGGCAGGGACGTGGACCCTGAGAGCAGGGGAGTTTAGGGGTCTCGACCCCCCCTGCTAGGTGGGGAGTCTTTCCCTGACCTTAAGACCCTGGGCTGGGGTCCGGAGCGAGGGCGGGCCCGGACCCCCTTCCCCCAACCGCCGTGGGGCACGCACAGAGTGAGTCGCGTGGAGTGTCAGACGACTTTGGTAATTGAGGGGGCGGACTTAAGCCCCCCTCTGGGGGTCAATCCCCTACACGTGGTGGAGAATGTGGGTACGACAGGCCCCGAAACGGGGGTCTGGATGGGGTAAGAGAAATTAACGAGGTGTCGATTAGCAGGACACGATGGAAGCAAACAAGATCTTGGAATGGTGGACGGAGACCCAGAAAGTGCAGCAGCAGCAACAAATGCAAGCACTACAACAGCTCCTCAGCCAGTTCCAGGAGCGGCAGGAGCAAATGGCGCGAGGGACACCGGTGACGGTACCCGGGACAGCTGGAGGGCCCGGAGGCGGAGAGGGGGTCGGCACCCAACTACCTATACGCCTCACGAAATTGGGGCCGGACGACGACCCAGAGGCATTTTTGGTGACGTTCGAGAGGGTGGCCACCGCTGCGAAATGGCCACCAGAACATTGGGCGACCCTCCTCGCACCCTATCTGTCGGGGCCGGCCCAGCTGGCCTACCGGGGGATGTCCGCCAATGACGCCTTATGCTACTTTAAAGTCAAGGAAGCAATTTTAGATCAACTAGGGGTCACCCCGGAGACCCACCGCCGGCGGGTCCGCGGGGCCAAGTATGACCCTCGCGAACGACCACGGGCCGTGGCCCAGCGGGTAAAAGAAGCAGGGATGCGATGGCTCGAGCCTGAGGCGAAGACGGGGGTCCAGGTGGCCGACCTAGTGATACTGGAGCAGTACGTCCGCATCCTCCCGGCCGAAGGACAGCAGTGGGTCCGGCGACACCTCCCAGAGACACCGGATGAGGCAGTGACCCTTATGGAACACTACCTGGCCGCCGAAGGGCCGGTAGGGAAGGAAGCAACAGGGACCCCGAGAGAACCTCGGAGGAGTGAGACGGGGACGGCCAAGCCGGCAGGGGCCCAACACACCGGAGGAGGATCCGGGAGCTCCCTGGGGCCCCTTCCGACAAGAAGGTTGGCACCACGGTGGAGCCGTCCAGGGGGGGAAGTCAGGATGGACCGAGCAACGGAAACGGGGCCGGGCACCCCACTGCCCAAGGGGGCCCCGAAGGTAGTCTGCTACCAGTGCAGCCAGGAGGGCCATTACAAAAGGGATTGCACCCTGATGGACTGCACCTTCGGGCAGCGGCGCACGGGAGGCACGGACAGGAGGACGGCTAGCGTGGCGCAGGTAATCCGGAGACTATGGGTCAATGGGAACCCGGTGGAGGCCATATTAGACTCGGGGTGTGGGCAGACCATCGTCCGGAAGGACGTGATATACCCAGTGCGGGCCCGGGGCGCGCCGATAGCCCTCCGATGCGTTCATGGGGACATCCACTACTACCCCACAACCCGGGTACGGATAGGGGACGGGGAGGTGGAAAGGAACTGCATAGTCGCCATCGGCCCAAGATTAGCATACCCGCTCCTGCTGGGACGGGATTGGCCCGGCCTGAAACGACTCCTGGGGCAGTGGGACAGGGGCAGGAACCCCGGACAGGAGCCCGAGGCGGGACAAGGGACCCTGGTAGCCCAAGGAGAGCAGGAGGGGGAAGAAGCGAGCCCAGGGGTGGCCCCGGCAGCTGAGACATCGGGCCAGACCCGACTCGACGTCGAGGAGGGGGACTTCCTTACACAACAGCGGGAAGATCCTACCCTACGGGCAGCCTGGGAGCAGGTGCGCACTACGGGAGAAACTCCAGGAGAAGACCCGCCCAAGCAACCGGAAGGGGCCCCGGTTCGAGGTAAGAGACGACCGCCTTTATCGAGTATCTCCAGGGGAACTCCCAGGGGAGGAGAGATGGCAGCTGCTGGTCCCGAGGCCGTACCGATGGAAGGTCCTGGAGCTAGCGCATGAGCACCCGTGGGCCGGACACCTGGGCACGGAGAAAACCCAGCAGAAGGTACTCCAGAGATTTTTTTGGCCTGGGGTGTACCAAGAGATTAAGAACTTTTGTAACTCCTGTCCACAGTGCCAACAATCATCCGGGACCCGGGTCCCACCGGCGCCCCTTGTCCCCCTGCCAGTGGTGGGGACCCCCTTCGAACGGGTGGCATTAGACCTAGTGGGGCCATTGGAGAAATCGGGGCGGGGGCACAGTTACATCCTAGTCATCGTAGACTACGCCACCCGTTGCCCCGAGGCGGTGGCCCTGAAAAGAGCTACGGCCCCCGCTATTGCTGAGGCACTGGTCAAGCTGTTCTCGTGGGTCGGGCTGCCCAGGGAGCTGCTGACGGATCAGGGGACGAACCTAACCTCGAAAGTTATGACAGAACTGTGCAGGACTTTGCAGATCCGGAAGCTCCGGACGTCGGTATACCATCCCCAGACCGACGGGCTAGTAGAGCGCTTCAACCGCACGCTGAAGGGGATGCTCCGGAAGTTCGCCCAAGACGACCCCAGGGAATGGGACAAGCTGCTCCCCGCACTGATGTTCGCCGTCAGAGAGGTACCGCAGGCATCACTCGGGTATTCCCCTTTCGAGTTGTTATACGGGCGGAGGCCGCGGGGAATCCTGGACCTGGTAAAGGAGGGATGGGAAACGTCGGTCTCCCCCGCCTTGGGGGCAGCCCAGTACGTGCAAAAACTGAGGGGGACCCTCCATACCCTGGCGGGCCGGGCACGAGAGAACTTAGGAAAGGCGCAAGAGGGGCAGAAGGCCTACTATGACAAGAAGGCGCAGGTGAGGGAGTTCGAGCCCGGCGAGCAAGTCCTCCTATTGCTACCCAGTGGGGAGTCCAAGCTCTTGGCCCACTGGCAGGGGCCCTTCCGGGTAATAAGGAGGCTGGGCCCGGTAGACTATGAAATACGGGTGGACCGCAACCGGCGAGACACGCAAATTTACCATGTAAATCTTTTGAAGAAGTGGCACCCGCGGGAGGTCCTCCTAATTGAACCCAGAGACACGGATATCGAGCTGGGTCCGTGGGGGGAGCCCGAGGTGAAAATCGAGGGAGTAAGGATCGGAGAGGAGCTACCGGGCCCGAAGCAAGAACAGCTGCACCACCTCCTCGATCAGTTCAGGCCAGTATTGACTAGCCGACCCGGGCAGACCACGCTGGTGCAGCACGAGATCGAGACAGAACCCGGCAGAGTGGTGAGGGACAATATGCGCCCCCTTCCGCGAAAGTTATGGGGCACGGTGAAGGAAGAACTCCAGGCCATGCTAGAATGGGGGGTGATACAAGAATCCCGTAGTGAATGGCGAAGCCCCATCGTGTTAGTACCTAAGGCGGATGGGTCAACCAGGTTCTGCATCGACTTCCGCAAAGTCAACGCGATTTCAAGGTTCGATGCGTACCCTATGCCCCGTATAGATGAACTACTGGGACGCCTGGGCAGAGCCACCTACCTGTCAACCCTTGATCTTACCAAAGGGTACTGGCAGATCCCGCTCTCGCCCGAGGCCCAGGCAAAGACGGCGTTCGCCACACCTTTCGGGCTATATCAATTTAGGAACATGCCATTCGGGTTGCACGGGGCCGCAGCCACGTTCCAAAGACTCATGAATCAGGTCCTGCGAGAGCACCAGGACTACGCGGCAGCGTACATTGACGATATTGTGATATTCAGCGAGTCCTGGGAGGAACATTTAGGTCACATAACAAACGTGTTAGGAGCCCTGAGGAAGGCAGGGCTGACGGCCAACCCAAAGAAGTGCCAATTCGGGAGGGCCGAAGTCTCATATCTGGGATACACGGTGGGGAGGGGAAAGCTCAAACCCTTAGTGGACAAGGTTCAGGCAGTACGGGACCACCCAGTCCCAACCACGAAAAGAAAGGTGCGGCAGTTCCTGGGGCTGGCAGGTTACTACCGGCGGTTCATCCCTAACTTTTCCTCGCTAGCAGCGCCTCTTACAGACCTTACACGGAAAGGACAACCAGAAAGGGTAAGGTGGACCCCAACCTGTGAGGGCGCATTTCGAGAACTAAAAGACCGGCTGGTAAGCGCCCCCGTACTAGCTCAACCGGATTTTAATAAGCCCTTCACCCTTCAGACGGACGCGTCCGAAGTAGGACTGGGAGCGGTGTTGACGCAAGAGGAGGGGGGCGAGGAACACCCCATCCTCTATCTAAGTCGCAAGCTCTTCCCTCGGGAGAGGGGGTACGCGACAGTGGAAAAGGAGGCCTTGGCCCTCAAATGGGCTATTGACTCACTAAGATACTTTCTCGTAGGTGACGAATTTACCGTGGTGACGGACCATGCCCCATTGCAGTGGATGCAGCAGATGAAGGACACCAACCCACGGATTTTGCGGTGGTACCTCAGCCTGCAGCCCTACCAATTTCGGGTCATACATCGCCCGGGGACCAACAATGGAAATGCAGACTGGCTGTCCCGCGTGGCCGAGAGCTCGGAAACAGAGACGGCGAGTGGGGCACCAGACTTAAGGGGGAAGGCGTGTGGCGGGGTAGCCCCGCCCCTCCCGGGAGTCGCCGGCACGCCGCGGAGAGGGGGGGAGGACTCAACCCCCGGGACGGCACAGCCCGCCGCCTGCGGCTTCAGCGCAGGGAAGCCGGCGCCCCGGCCGGGGGACGAGCCGGGGCCGGCAGTTAGCGCCGGAGGGGGACGAGGGCGGGGTGACGTCAGGGAGACGTCACCTGACGCTCTACCCTGGGAGGGGCCGCAGGCCGACGAC